ATTCTTAACAAAAAATTTGAAGCATGCGGTTTTTTCTAGTCGAATGAAAACCTTCCGGAAAGTAACGGCTGAGCCTCAACGGGTGATGTCTTCAAATCTTAGCAAACTCCCCCCAACGTGAAATAATTGTTCTATGAAACAATAGTTACGACAATCGGGACCAAAATCCAACTTGTATCCTTAGTAAAGAAAACTCTACCGAGTCTAGGTTGCAAAAACTTGGCACTTATGTTAACGAAATGCGGGTTTGCGAAACAAAAATGCAAGCGTTTGGTTATCAAACTACAGAATTGGGATTGCAGCCATTCAAAAGGCAGAAAAATAAACAAAATGCATATCTCAAGCAGAGGAACAGTGCAGAGCCTAAAACTCAAAAACGGTCAATCAGCATGAAAATTCTCTAGCTTATTTGACTTTGTTATCAGAGTTATATAATCTGTTTTCGTAAAGCTATTAACAAACAGTTTACAGAAGTTTTGCAATTTTTTGAAAGAAATTCTAAGACATGTTTTTTTTAGTTATTTACAAGCAAAAAAATCAACCCTTTCCTATTTTATCAATACCACGTTGCCCTCTCTCTCTCTCTCTTCTCCTCTCCTTAACACTCAGTATACCCTTCTTCGCCCCACTAAAATTTTATAATTCTATCAACATTATTACAATTTTTAAAAGGACGTTTTTTGGCAAAGAAATATGCGATAGTCTTAGAAACTTTCAACAATTTTTTGAAATGTTCGAGAAAAGAGTCAAAATATGATTTTATTTTGATTAGTACTTTTTCCCGTCACTGTTTGACAGTATCATCCAAATATCTGTGCGCTGTAAAATTTGGGTTTGAATGATTTGAACAGTTTCACAATACCTTAAATGATCAAAACGCTTCAAGCAACTGTCAGGTAGGCAGAAAAAAAGTTGATTGAACGAAGCATATTGGAGAAAAAAAACAGACGCAACAAAAATTCAAGATCATGCTTTTATTACTTTTGACATCTAAATTCATTTTTGAATGGAAGTTTTCAAACCACATAAGAAAACAAGTTTGAACATATTACTTTTTTTACAGTAATTCAATGCCAGGAGTAAACTCGTCCTAATAAATTTGTACCAAGTTTGCAGTATTAGATAATAGTTTCATCGAGTGGTATGTAAACGTTCAAAACAGTTCAGAATTTTGCTTGGAATGCTTGATTACTAGATAAGATAAAATTATCTTAAATCGAGCGCTATCTTAAAATGCGATCCCACAGGGTGTCCCAGGGCACAGTTTGAAACCCGCCTATTTTTTTGATTTATGTAATGATTCTTTTGTTTGCCAATGGTACAATTATAAAACCCAGCAGTTTATATTTGGATGATTTCCACTTGTATCTGCTCAAATTTAAGTCCTGGCTAGCTTTGAATAAACACCAAAGTTTAAAATGACCCTAACAAGTTTCAAACATAATTTGAGGCTTTAAATTTTTGCTTTTCTAAAGACAATAATTTGTTCTATTCTTGAAGTTTAAGCAAACGTTTCGGACTTTTGTCCATAATAAAAAAAACGGTCCATTATCAAATCTAAACAAGGAGGAAGCTTTTGTGAATTTGTTTCCAAAAAGAGATGTTTTTTCAAATAATTAAAAACCTTATGTTGAGTCAAAACTCTGATTTGGCTTATTTGTTTATTGATGTACGTCTATTTAACTTTTGAGCACGTTTTCTTCGTTACAAAAAAAAAACTTTTTTATCACTCGTCTTACCACTCGTCTAAGCTTCAACAAAACAGAGTTTTGGTTTTGCCTGACATATCTTGGCTAATGATGAGAAAGTAACTCCTCTTAATGACAACTATTAAAACGAATCTAAATAAACTTGACCTCAAAACTGAGGCTTCCAATTTTCCGTTTCTATTAGACACAAAAGTTTAAGCAAATGTTTAGTTTTAACCATTCTATTTAACTTTCCACGTCATATTTTGATATTATCAAATCTAAGCAAGGGAGGCTTTGTAAAGTTATTTTCAAAAAGAATCATCTTTTACCACCGAGAGTGGTTATGTTAAATAATTACAATCCTAAAGTTGAGTCAAAAATCCAAATTGGCCTACTCGTTGATCGTTGTACTTCTTTTTCAAATTTGAATTGGGCTTTTTTGTTGCAAAAACGCTAATAAAAAATCTTCTAAATGAGAAGTTAGGTTAGCATCTCATTTGAGCTTCACCAACACAGAATTCAAGTTGTGCTTGACTTTTCTTGGCTAGCTTTGAATAAAATAACGCTAAGAACCAACACAAAAAAAACCCTAAATATGTTCAACCTCAAATCTGATACTTCCAATTTTCATGTTTAGGACTTTTGTCCATTAAGAACAGCGTTCCACACGCATTTTTTTGATATTGTCATCTAAACAAGGAAGGCTGTGTGAAGTTCTTTCCAAAAGAGACTTTTTTCACCGAGATTGGGGAGGATAAAATTTCACAGCCTAATGTTGAGTAAAAAAAACTCGTTTGAGCTTCAACAAAGCAAAACTCTGTCTGTGGAAGACTTGTAGGCTTACAATCTTCTGAAAACTTTCAATTGATACACCACTTTTGCGCTCAAATGACTTCCTCCGTTAGTTTTTTTGCCAAAAACCAGCACCAGTTTAATAACAAGATCATCAAATTTTCCTGTTTTTAGAAACCAGTTTATTGTAAAATAAAAGAAATCAGCCGGGAATCTAAACATATGAACATCTTCAGCATAAAAAAAATTTTGCCATGAAAAATTTTGGGAGCTGGTTCATTTCATGTATGACAGCTGTTAATTTGAGCCCTGATTTCTAGGTGCTTCTGATCATGTCAAGTATGTGTTGAAAAAGTCTAACACTTTGACAGAATGAATCCCTCTAGTTTGCGAGAAACTGCTTTTTTCGTAAATTTAAATTGTTTTCTGCTCAAACAAAATTATTTGTTCCTGAAAACTAGCACGATTTTTGAGAAATTGTACTTTTAATGAATTTTTTACATTTCTTTAAAAACGTCTGAAAAGAAATGAAAAATATCTTCGGATTTTTCATAAGTAGCACGGGAAGTGGCCATTTCACTTGTGCGTCCAAAAAAATATCATGATGCAAAACCTGTAGCTTACAACATATACGGTTTTTAAATTTTTTAATGGAATTTAGAAAAAAAAATAGAAAAAATATAAATTCTTATTAGACTTTTTCTCTTTTTTTTCTTGGGTGCCACGACAGCAATTCAATATATGGCTGTGCATCTAGTCGAGAAATTTCACTTCTCAAATTCTTCTTTTTGTTGAAAAATAATCTTTTTTTGGACATATTAAAATGATATAAAACCGAATTTTCAAATAATTTCAACGAATTTTCAATCAAAGTTTTGTTAAGTGTTAATAAAATAGTGTAGGTTCTCAGTAGGAGCGCAATACTCTCTTTGCTTATGTTCTCGTTACTCTAAAAGTCATTGATAAAAATTATTTGCTTAGAGCATTTGTTTTGTTTGATTGATAAAAACTACATGTATTTGCTTGAAATATTCGTTTTATTCCATTGATATCATGTTGTTCTGAGAAATTATTTCTTTCTGTCTTTCAAATCAGTGCCTTGAAAAACAACTTGAAACATTGTGTGCTAAAAATTATTCTCGTCTTAGTTTCTAGATTGATTTCTTGGTTATCAGGAGGTAAGAGTCAGAAATTTTCAAAAACTAATGCTCCGTTATTGACAGTCTTCAATGTCAATATGTATCCGCCATCCTGCTATTAATTACGCAGAGAGAACACGATAGCTAAGAGGAAAAAAGCACATAGTTAGAGAATGTAAACGCAGGTTTAGAATACTTGACTGTTCAAAAATGCCGAAGTGAAAAAGTGCAGAAGGCAAAAATTGTCCAAAATGCAAAAACGAAAAAGATTTTGATCATTTTTTATTTAGGGGGACAACTAAATAAAAAATGATCAAAATCTTTTTCGTTTTTGCATTTTGGACAATTTTTGCCTTCTGCACTTTTTTGCTTTCTGCACTTTTTTATTGTGCCCAGTAAAAAAGTCATCCCATAATATATTAATGAAATTTTACTGATTTTGATAGAATTTTTGCACTTGACCAAAAGCAAAAAAGTGGTTGCAATTAACAATAATGTCTGTTTTCAAGTTTTGTAATTTTTGTTAATTTTCTTTTCAACACAGATCTAGCAAATCACTGTTTTCAATTATATCAAGCATTTTGTAAAAACTATTTTGATATGTTTTTGAAGACCATAGAGTGATGATAACCACATTCAGCATCGACTAAGTTGACTAATATATCCGGTGGTTTTCAGATAATGCTAAGTGAAGCCATTCATGTAACTCAAACCCATAAATGAAAAATACGCAAAACGTGCCCTTCTAAAAATTTGTTCATTTTCAAATCGAAAAATGCATTCGCTTTGCGCAAATTTAATTGGCTGAAATTTTTTTTCCATCTCGCTGTCTGATTTGAATTAAACTAAATGTATGGCATGAATTTACTCTCTTTACAAAATTGAGATCAAATATGAAATACAACTAATTCATAAAGAGGCGAATCAAATAGTTGTACAATATCATATTAGAAAAAGTTTTGAACTGGTTTCGTTTAAAATTTTAAATTCATAAAGCACACATTACGGGGAACCATCGGTTTTATTCAATCACCAGTTTCTCTTCATTTTAACCAAAAAAGCCTCAAAGAGACATTCTATTGGTCACTAGCCAATACTTTTTCAGTCGGCCAATAAAAACCTCTTAAGTATAATCTGTTTGGCATTTTTTTTCTTCAAAATTTAAGTTCATATTTAAATTTGTTTTGAAATATGTAAAGATCAAGTGATTTTCTGTCCATTATTTAAAATTGTTCATCCTTTTTTGAGTTATTCTTCATTCACGAAAGAACGTTGTTTTCTTTTTACCTTATAAAATTTTGCCAGCTTTGCTAATTAAAATACTTTAATAATTTTTATTGAGGTCGCTTTTAAATTTTTTGGTCTCTTTTAAATTATTTTCAATTACCTGCCAATATTTTTATAGCTTAAATCAATGAAAATTTCTTCGGTTGAAAAATTCAAACATTATCGATTTCTAGGAGCATCATTGACCTTGAATTTGTCTTCATTGAGTATCACAAAATAATGAAACTGAAAATCTCTTAATTATATAGCTGAATCGCGTTACACTTCTCGTAGGCTAATCTAAAAAAAACAGAATTTATTCAAAAAATACTCATTTTGTGAAAAAATGGATGTATTAAACGTAACAAATTTTACGGAGTTAGAGGTCAAAACACAATATGTACTTTCAATTCCTGAAAAAATTGCTCAACATATTATGTGGCCAACGACCATAGCAGCAATTATCGGAAATTCTTTGCTTTTACTCGTATTTTCACAGAGAAATCTGCTCAAAGTCCATGATATGTTGATCGCAACCCTTTCATGTTTAGACCTTGTTCACGCTTTTATGAATATTTTCAACTATTACTTCATGTACAAAATACACGATTTATTCCCGAAGTTCAATTGTTTTCTAAACAATTTTATGTACCATTTTGTACTTCTCTCCAGGTAAAGGTTTAAGCGCTAAAAATTATGTTTTCTGAATTTTAAAACCGTTTCAAATATGAAAATGATAAATGCTAAAGGAAGAAAAATTGCTAGCCTGGATAACCTGGGTAATTTTTTCACATAGTAAACGGTGGCACACTTAGAATTTTCTTACTGGACAACTTTTCGTTTCTTTTAGAAATGGACCAAAATGGTTTTCCAAATTCTTGTAACATGCTAAAAATATATTTTTGAAGATGAAGCCAAATTATTGGACACTATTGTGGACTCTTTTTGGACATTTTTTGGTCACCTTTTGGATTAAATATGGGTTATTGTTACCGAATTGCTTTTATATTTTGTTCTGTATGTTTTTCAGTTGCTTCACACTGATTGAGATCACGATCGACAGACTTCTGGCTGTCTGCAATGTCATGTTTCACAGAATCCACGCGACCAAGAAGCGCTGCTACTTGACTATTGCATGTACTCAGCTCTTGGTCGGCTTCCTTGTCATGCCCTCGGCTGGAATTTGCGTCGACGGTTAGAAACTACTATATAATTGTTTATACAAATTATTGGTATTGAAAGGGGGTTAAATTATTGTGGGGTTAAATTATTGTGGGGTTATCTTGTTACGGGGTTATAAAGTAGGGGTGTAAATATAGGGGGTTAAATAACGCGGGGTTAAAAAGTGGAACACCATATAAACCACCCAAAGTAAAAACCGCTACCATATAAACCAGCGGCAATTACATAACTGTTATACAACAGCCCGGGTTGACCTCCATAGACCAAAAATGCTAATCATACAATTCCATAAACTAAGTCTATGAAAAAATACAAATCATACAAATTTCATACATTTTGCTAAAATGGTGTCGCCGAATTTTCAAAAAACTTTTCTCTTGTTTTGGCATAAAATTCGGTGTATCGTTTTACATAAAAAAGAAAAACTTTTGGTCAAAAAAAAAATGCTAGTCATACAATTTCCATATATCAAAAAATACTAATCATAGACCTTTCATGCAATTTTCTGTACTTATGGAATTGCATGAAAAGTGTATGATTAGCATTGTTCCATATATGCAAATTGTATGACTAGCATTTTTGGTCAACCCGGGAGTTGTGTCACAATTATGTACTAGTTATAAAACTGCACGCTAAATTTTCTTTTACACTCCAATTTGCAAACATACCGGGGTCGGGATATCAAAAATTATCTCCAGAGTTTCAAAATCACGCCAATGTCGTTTCGTGATTGGTAATTCATGATTCTGACTGGGTTTCATAATCGCGGAAAAGTGACTGGAAATAATGTCATACCGTCGTGATAGTCCTTGGGTCAAAGTTTCCTAAAAGAATTTGACTGAAGCAGTTTAATGAACTAATTTTTGACTGGTGTTGCCAGAAATTCCTGCTTTGACCGGCGGAACCAAAGACCCCTATGTTGTAAGCCGAGTTCGACCCAACCCATGCATGTTTCGACCAAGTTGGACGGTACAATTTAATCAAAAGTAAAACTATAAGTAAGATGTTGGTTTGCGTGGCTTTTTGCGTGTTTTCGTGGTTAAGTTATGTTCGAAATTTTAGTTTTTAAACACCTACAGAAAATTTAAACTAAAAACTTACTTAGCTTAAAATTTTTAAAATGATCCTTACTACTACTATGTACCACGGAGTCCACAGATCTCAAATTTTAAAATTTAAGGTTTTAAAAGGAATATGTGGATTACTACTTCTTAACCTTATGACTGTTTATCAAAGTACTGCTTTTGATGATGTTTTTTATAAAGAAGAAAACGTCTGCTAAAAGTTTGGACAAAAATATCAATTCAAATTACAAGAAAAATTTTCCATTTTTTATGCTTCGGCTTTGAGCGTTTTTGAGTTTCGACTTTGAGTTTCAAGGTTCTTCGGCTTTTTGTTTCGAATCATGTAACTTAATATTTCCACTTCAATTCGAGTATAAAAATTAATTACCCCCCCCCCCCCCCCCACCCTCCCCACCCCAATCGATTTAGGGGGAGAAGATATGGATTTTTCATAAGCCAATTTTGAGTGTAGCCTAGATTCGTTCAAAATTAACCGTATTACAAAAGAAAATAGAATTGAAACATTAATTTGTGTAATTAATAGCATACAAACCCCCCTCCCCCTGAGTAAATGTTCTAATTCAGATATGAAATAATCTTTTTCCGATCTAAATTTCAAATCTGAAATGGGTTGTGAAATGTTAAAATAACGCTTGGTTAGTTTAGTAATAGGTTATTTCAGATCTATTTTCTGATCTGAAAATTAGTTTTTCTTGGTTATTTCAGATCTAAAAAATCAATAATTTGGACACAATTTTTGCTATTTTTGTTACTTTTGTATTTGATAGATTCTGCTAGCTACTATCAGGTACTCAGCAAAGTCTCAAATTTGAGACTGTCGAAATATGTTACCCCAAGCATGAGATAAACTTTGGGAACGCAACAATAGTGTATGAAAATCAAAGAATTGATAGATATTCTAACAGTTTTTGAGAAGAAATTTAGTTCAAAAAAACTGTTAGAATACCTTTTAAATTTTTGATTTTCATTCACTATTGTTGCGTTTCCGCTAGTTAATCTAAACAGTTGTGTATTGCAGAAACATCGAAAAATAAAAACTCAATTCTTTGCTCGAAATGTATAAATTATAATTTAACAAAGGGTTTCTCATATCTATTTTCAGATCTAAAACTTTCAAATTCCTATCAAGATCTGAAAAATGTCAGATCTGAGAATCAACTTATGAAAGAAATAAAGAATTTCAGAGCTTGCACAAAATATCCCCTGGGTAAAAAATGTACAAACCAATTTTATTTGCGCGTTTGTATGATATGCATATTTTATACAGAATTAATTTTTAGAATTAATACATGCTTGGGTAGGGCATTCTACGGTAGGTTATATAGAGGAGGGGGGAGATTGTTCGGTTGATTCGATTATAGGCCCTGCGTGACTTCGAATTTTTGACGAAGCAATGACATCTGGTGCGACCACTTCGTTCAAAACATTATTATCTTAGCTCACCACTTCGCTCAAAGCCTCGACTAGGTTGAAAATGAGTCGTGAAAAAGAAATTACCTAATTGCGGTCACAACCACATAAAACGATGAAATTTGACTGCTATAGGACAATAGGTTAAAGGTATTTTAATTTAGTCAATTTGAGGGAATTAAGTTCACCGGTTTGACCCAAAACATGTATTTGAAAATCCACTAAGAGCTTGTTAATTGATTCACTTTTGAAGTTTTCCATTAAGAAACTGAATAAATTGCTTCAATAGAATACCTCACTTAAAGTTTTGTTGTTATGGCTGAATTGTAATTTTTACTTCAGTTTTCTGACTTCAAAGTTCATATTTATTTCGGTCGAGAAAACTGGTTAATTAACTTAAAAACTTCTGCGTTTTAACTCATTTTATTTATATCAGCTTAAATTTATAAGAAGACAAAAATAATTTTAGAAAATCCTAGGAGAGCTATTCTACTAAAATGATCTAAAGATTAAGATTCAAAAAAATCATATGAACAGAAAGTTATTTGGAGACAAAATGGTCTCAATAAAATAATCTAATTTATTAAAAAATCCCAGATTTGAACCAGGAAACATCGGTGAGACAAAAGGTTTGCAAGTTGAACAAATTCACTCAACTTTTTTTCCAAATATAATAGTTTGATGTTAAGTTCATCAAACAAAATTGCACATGCGGCAAAAAACATTTTAAGTCATAATAACCCAAATTATTTGTGCGCTTAATATAGCTAATGACTATTGGACATTCACATCAGAGATAAGATATAAATAGGACCAAGTTAACAACCCCTTCCCCCCAAAAAAAAGTTTAGGGGGAGAATGTCAAGTTGGTTCTGAGTTCGAATTTTCAGCCAATCAGAATAGAGCTTGTTACATGCAGCTCTTTGCAAATTTAATTTAAATTGAACGCTGGGGTGGAGGATCTTAACTTGGCCTATCTGGAGAGGATATAAATTCGATCCAATAATTGATTGAAAAAGCTGCAACCAAAATTAAGGAAATTAACTTTTTTATAGTATTTTACTGCTTACTAAAACATTCGAAAACATAAATCATAGTATAATAACATATCACCGCATATTAAAATATTGATAATAATAATATAACACTTCCAGATATACTTCAACAATTTTCAAAAAAAAAAGAACTTGACAACATCAGGCTTCAATTCAACGAAAAAAATTTTCATGCCTTTCCGAACAACATTTCAATAACTCAGATTAAATTCATCTATTTTACAGTTGAAATAACAGCAGAACTAACAAAAATCCTAAAAACCCGACTGAAAACTGATTATCGAAGGAATTGGTTATGAACAAAGAATTTTCTTACAATTTACCAGATGTTAGTCATCTTCAGTATGTTTTGTTCTGTGTTCGATTACCACTAAACACTTACTGATCTATAACTAAGTTATTGTGCTCATTTCAAATGTTGAAATGGTTTTTTTTTGGAAAGCAGTCGTGTTGAACTGATTTTTGTTGCTTTTTATATCAATTTTGAAGCTGTTAAAAATGTTTGGAAAAGCAGTAACACTGATTAAAAAAATGATATAATCAAAACATTTTCTATATAGATTATGATGTAAGCTTTCAATATTAAATAATGATTTTAACAAAAAACTTTAACTAAACAAGGATAGCCGGTTGCTGTGCAAGTAGCACAGAATGTTCCGGCAACATTATCAGAAATTTTTTTTAAATTAGTGTCTTTTTTTTGTACGTCGTGTGATGATAGAGCTATTTGAACGCGTAAAAATTTTGTGAATTATACATAAAGGACTACACTTGTCTTCAAAAAAAAACAAATCAGCAAAATTTTTTCTATTGTTCTATTTTTTGCTCTATAAATTTGAAATAATTTCGAGAAAATTTATTTTGCCTGAGAAGCGTTATATATGGCATCCAAAACTATATTATCTTTAGGTAAAATAATCATTTTCAGCCTAAATTGGTAATTTTACTCAAACTCAAACCAATTTTTCTAGACATTGGAGAAAAATTGAAAAAACTTTAATGTGGTTCTAATAAAAAAACCAGTCTGATGAATATTTGTGGTATCTGATTTTGTGTGTAAAACAAAAAGAAAATAAAAGAAAAAAACTAAAACACACCTGAAAAAAAAATTCCTCCCCATTTTCAATGGTACGAACAAAAAACCTTAAAAATAAAAAAAACAAGAAAATGTCATTATAAAATTGATCAGTTCTGCTTTTTCTTTAGGCAAATTTTTACCCTAAGTTCTGCCGCAATTCTGCATACTGTTTTAGAAATTTGAAGTCATCTGCTCATTTGAAATCATTGATTTTCAGTCCAGCTCCTGTTTAGAATTTTATCAAGACTCCTTAATCAGGGCTAGGCCTTAAATGTTCAGAGTGTAATTTAGGGTACTTTAATTAGGAATAAATTATTAAATTGTGCAAATTTCAGCAAATACCAGTAAAAACAAGTGCAAAAAAAAAGATAGAAACAGTCCCTT